GGATCCTTCCTTCCGTTGACCTAGCTGCCGCCTCTCGGAGAGGTGGATTAACGACAGTGAGAAAACCCTTCTGTTGATGTAGGAAGCGTCTTTGCTCCGGCACTACAGTGGCCCGGCGGCAGCACCATCGCAGTGCTACTGTAATGTAGACATACTCACTGGCTCTCTCTTCTCGGGCATCAGCCGTGGGGGCCGGGAACCCCTCTTCAGACTCACTCTCCTGCTGCCTTCTGTAGCCTTGTTTGTGATGACAAAACTGGCCCTTTAAATTGTCTCCCTGGGGAAGTATGTGTCATTGTAACAAACCAGATAATCTTCTGTAACTGAGATAATACAAACATGAAAAGAATTTCTCCTCTTAAGAGCTCACCGTCTCGGGGTTGTCCACTCTACAGAGTCTATACTGGCCTGGCTAAGGCGCTGGAGCTACGTTGGCATAACATCAAAGCATAAACCAGTGGTTCTCAACCAATTTACCACTGGGTTGCATATGCAGCTCTCTGTGTTATATGGGCTGCATCCACACAATATCTATATTACCCTATGGCCCTGAGGATGTCACATGGGCTGCAGCTGTGTGCTGATTGGGCCGCAAGCAGCCCATGGTTGAGAACCGCTGGTATAGACCCAGCCTACACTGACCGAAAGATTATTTTTCCCATCGGTGTTGGAACACCAGCTCCCCGCGCAATAGTACCTACGTCAACACCAGCCTTCTTCCGTCAGCGTAGCTGTGTCTAGACTGGAGGTTATGTCGGTGTGGCTGTGTCACTCAGGGGTGTGGGTTTTTTGTCAACCTACCTCTTAAGCATAGACCAACACTCAACAGTCTAAACCAGGGGTAGGCAACCTATGGCACGTGTGCCAAAGGCGGCATGTGAGCTGATTTTCAGTGGCACTCGCACTGCCTGGGTCCTGCCCATCGGTCCGGGGGGCTCTGCATTTTAATTTAATTTTAAATGAAGTTTCTTAAACATTTTAAAAACCTTATTTACTTTACATACAACAATAGTTTAGTTATATATTATACACTTATAGAAAGAGACCTTCTAACATAACCTAACAGGTGACCACATAAAGATATCATAACTAGGCCCTGACAAATTCACCGTTGTGAAAAACGTGTCACGGACTGTGAAATCTGGTCTTTTTTGTGTACTTTTACCCTATGCTATAAAAGTACCCTAGACTATATGGTAAAAGTATACAGAAGTACACAGCATTTCTCAAACTGGGGGTCCCAATGCAAAAGGGGGTTGCAAGGCTATTGTAGAGGAGTCACAGTATTGCCACCCTTACTTCTGTGCTGCTGCTGACAGCAGCGCTGCCTTCAGAGCTAGGCACCTGGCCAGCAGCCGCTGCTTTCCAGCCACCCAGCTCCGAAAGCAGCGCAGAAGTGAGGGTGGCAATACCATAACCTCCCTGCAATAGCCTTGCGGCCCCTTTTTGGGTCAAGACCCCCAGTTTGTGAAACGCTGAGTCTTAAGTTCTTTACATGTTTATATTTTGCCATTTTTAAACACACATTTTCATGTTTTGTTACAATGCTGTGAAATTTAAGATTTAAATACCTGAAAACATGAAAGTCAAGACATTTAGGAAATTGGACTGTGAATTTGATAGGGCTCTAATCATAACTGATACACATAAAAAGGAAGGAGCAGGGAAACCAGGGTTAAGGTCGCACTTTGGAGCCTTTCCTCATTTCCATCTGGTGGGTATTTGCCTGCGGGGGAGGGAAAAGATGGGCTCTTACCCTTATGTCGCGCTCTCAATTTCAGTGCAGGTACTTAAAACACAGCCCCAATTCATGGCCTGGTGCCCAGACGGCTGGATCGGATACCAAGGGAAATGCTACTATTTCTCTGAGGCTGAAGAGAACTGGAACAACAGCCAGAGATACTGCTCTGTACTCGGCGCTTCCTTGGCTGTGATTGACAGCGAGCAGGACCTGGTGAGAAACAAAACAGACCCATTCTGGGGGCGATGGGCTATGCTGGATTTATGGTCGAGGGCTTCCAGGCGCTCCGTGGCCTAGGCCCAGGGTGTCTAAAAGAGCCTAATGCTCTAGGATGAGGTCTGTGGTTGGCATCACCTCTCCTCTGGCACAATTTAAGGGCAAAGCTTCTCAGTGAGGGAGCTGGAAGTTCCTTGGTGGCTGGTCCTAGCTTGTAGAATGGTCTCCCCCAGGAACTAAGGACTGTCCAGAACCTCACCACCTTCTGCCCCAAGAGCGACATGCACTTCTTTGAGCTGTCTTCTCGGGTATCAATGTAACCCATTGGTGAGGGTGTCAGAGATTCCATGTATCAGGGGGTAGCTGTGTGAGTCTGTATCTACAAAAACAACAAGGAGTCTGGTGGCACCTTAAAGACTAACAGATTTATTTGGGCATAAGCTTTCGTGGGTAAAAACCTCACTTCTTCTTGAGGCTCTGAGCCTTTACAGCCCCTGACAGGAGAGGGTTGCATCTTTACATAGGAACATAAGAGCAGCCATACTGGGTCAGACCAATGGTCCATCTAGCCCAGTATCCTGTCTTCCGACAGTGGCCAATGCCAGGTGCCCCAGAGGGAATGAACAGAACAGGGAATCATCAGTGATCCATCTTTAGCTCCCGCTGGTGTGACTTGTGCCTTTTCGTTATGGAGGTTCCTGGTTGAAGTCCCCAGTACGTCAGCCAAGATGGCCGCCTTCATATAAACACATAGTGTGTGCATTTCAAATGACAAAACCCTACCAAAACAAACCGCTCTTCTACACACACGATTCTCCCCCTTGGGGGAGAGAGAGAGAGAGAAAGAATCACATGTAATGTGTTAATCACATCACTTAACTCATGAGTGGAAGATGCTCTGCTATAAGGGGGCAATGGGATAAGACCTTGTGTGGAATAGTGTAGGCACACGGGATGATGCATATTGTTAAAATTGCCTAAGCCAGTGGTCCCCAAACTGTGGGGTGTTCCACCCCCAGGGAGGTGTGGAGGAATGTGCAGGGGGCGTATGGCCAGCCCAGGCCAGCTACCATGCAGGGGAGGAAGCCCCAGCCCCAGCTCCCCACCGCCCCCTAACCCCACCCCCAGCCCAGTTCTGGCCCCGACCGCAGCCCCACCCCCTGGACCACCCCCAGCCTAGCTCCATCCCGCCTCCAGCCCCAGACGCAGCTCCACCCTGCCCTCAGCCCAGTTCTGCCCTCATTCCCTCTCTGCCCCCAGGCCAGTTTCAGCCCCAACCGCAGCTCCAATCCTCCCCCAGCCCACCTCTGCCTTTAGCCCCGGCTCTTCCTCCAGCTCCGTCTTCAGCCCGAGCTCCACTTCTGAGCCAATTGTGCAGTAATGTGGGAGGGGGGAGGGAATGGGGGGAATGCAGACAGATTTCACTACTGGTAAGTGGGGGCATGACAGGAAAAATTTGGGCACCCCTGATCTAAGTATTTCCATATTTCAGTTGCTTATAATTGACCTCCAGGTTTTCCTTTTGTGGGTTTTTTTTTTGAGGGGGTGCGGGGTTGTCTGAACTTTACTCTCTCAAGGGGAGGTTTTCCCCTGACAGTTTCAGCAAATCCACTTTTATTATTTCTCTCGTGGTAGCACCTAGGAAGGAACTCCAGCCCAGACTTTTTCAGTGAATTTCTAAGTCACCAAACATTGGCCCAGCTCTAACTGGAAATAAGGCAAGGCTCCAAAGTGCTGCTTTAACTCTGGTTTTCCTTCTCCTTCCTTTTGGTGCGGATCAGTGATGATCCGATCTTTAGTTCTGTGGCCCCCTGCTGCGTTTTCCCACAGGACCCCTGCCTCATTCAGAGCCCAAAGAATGAGGCAGGGTTGTGTGATGAATTCCTCTGGGGTCCCCAGCTTCTTGCCACGTTCGCTGCGCTAGTTGTACGAGGCAGGGCCGCCCAGAGGATTCAGGGGGCCTGGGGTCGTCAGCAGCGGGGGGCCCCCGCCATGGAATTGCCGCTGAAGACCCGGAGCAGAAGAAGCTCCGGGGGCCCGGGCCCCGCGAGAGTTTTCCGGGGCCCCCAGAGCAGGGCTCCAGGGCCCCGAAAAACTCTTGTGGGGGCCCCTGCGGGGCCTGGGGCAAATTGCCCCACTTGTCCCCCCCCCGGGCGGCCCTGGTATGGGGCGCCGTGACTGAAGCGGGGCTGAAGAGATGGTCTTGAGGTTAAGCCACTAAAGTGGAACCCAGGAGCTGTAGTTTAAATTACAACCTCTGCTTTAACTAACTCAGGAACATGTCTGTATAACGTGACTCTGTGCTGCCCGGAGCCCAGTGAGCAGCGCACGTGGAATCAAACTCTTTCCTTTTTCTGTGTTACAGGGTTTCATGCTGCGATACAAAGGCGTCTCCGAGCACTGGATCGGCCTCTGGAGAGAGCAGGAGAGACAGCCCTGGAAATGGGTGAATGGCTCTGATTTCAACAGCTCGTGAGTCCCTTTTCTGTCTGTTTAGGTTCTGAACACTAGGCTGTGGGGCTGAATCCAGACGGAGCCAACGTTCACCAGGTGAACCCCAAAATACTGGCGGGGAGTGAGGGAAATCTGTATCCGCTCTGGGATTTGGGGTTGACTCCCACTGCTGACACCTGGAGCCACAGTGGCGCAGGGGGTGCTGCGCTGTTAGGGGGATGGTAACACTAGGGTTGTCAAGAACTAACTTTTCATTGAAACTGTTTTATGGTGGAAAATTGGAGTGTTGACCATTTCTTTTCACAAAATGTCTTTTCATGGAAAAAAATGATTTTTTTTAATTAAAAAAAAAAATCCCCCCCAAAGCAAGAAACTACTGAACTATTTCAGCTCAAAATGCTGCTCTGGTACCTCCTGGGAGTTGTAGTTTGGTTTCCTCATATCCTCAATCTCCCCTTTATGAGCGGGGCTCCCCAACTGGACAACATCTCCCCTGGTGCAGCATGGCCAAGGAACTACCTCCTCTTTGCCAAGAGAGATCGGGGGCACCATGGGAGATGTAGTTTGGACATGGAGCTCGGCCTATAGAGAAGAATGAGAGTATGAGGCACCTGCACTACATCTCCCATAATGCACTGCTTCCCCTTGACCCGTGGTGAGACCATGGTGCATCCTGGGAGATGTAGTCTGACCAGTGAACTTGGCTTATAGAAGAGAAGGGGAGCATGAGGCACCTGAACTACAGCTCCCATGAGGCACCACAGAAGCTTTTCCAAATTAACATATTTTAAGTTGTGATTTTTTTGGGTCAAACTTGTCTGGGCCAACTCCATTATAAGCTCCCACCTCAGCTACTCCCACTCAAGCTCCAGTCCCTGGAGAGCTGCAGGCCCAATGCCTTTGGAGATTTGGAGGCTGGAGGGAAGGGGTGAGATCTGGCCTCAGGGATCATATGTTTGACGTCTGTGTCTTAGACGGAGACAATGTCAAAAAGAGGATGCAGACAGCAGCTCCTCTGAGATTCAAGGGAAAGGAAAAGGCATCACAGTTAGTTACACCACAGCTAGCAGACATCACGGTTTGTGTTATTTACATGGTAGCAACCGTCAGTACAAAAGGGGCAGCAGTTTTCTGGATGAACAAAGAGCTAAGGGGTTTTTTTTAGTTTCAGGTCAAATGAATTTTTTTTTTGTTCAGGCATTTTTAAACCACTTTTATTAAAACCAAAGGAAATTTACAAACATCATGCACAAACCCATACTCCATAGCCCCTGGTTAGGGCACTCAACCTGGGTCTCCTTTATCCGAAATCATATCCTCTCCCTGCCTGATTCGGAGTAGGGACTTGAAACGGAGTCTTCCTCATCCTAGAGGAATGCTCTAATGACTGGGCTATCAGATATACCACCACTGCCTTCTCCAGTTTTGTGACGGGTGCCCAAGTGCCCTTGTCAATCTAGCCTGAAGAAAAAAATTAGTTTGGGTTGAAAAGTTTCAGTCAACCCAAAATTGCATTTTTTGGTGAATAAACTCTTCATCTAAACAACTTCACTAGCTCTAACTAGAACCTCCTTCCCCGCCCACACACCTGCAATAGGAGATGTGGGCTCATTTTGCCCCCCTCACACATTAGGGAGAGATACAGTGATCCAGGCTGGAGATGTTAGATCAGCAGTTCCCAAACTGTGGGTGGCAACGCCAAATGAGGTCGCACCATCGGCAGACGAGGTGGCGGTGGTCCCTAGCGTGAAGAAGATGCCATTTTGCTCTACATGGCATTACCTTGCCTGTACGGTTCCTGTGAGGTCACAATGCATGGAGGACGCTATTTTTCTCTACAAAATGGCATTCTCCACACTGCCTGGGGTACTGGGAGGAAATAATTAATTAACATGGGGTCATGCTGGCAAAGAGTTTGGGGGCCCCTGCGTCAGACGCATTCTCCCACTGGCAGTAACGTCAGCTGGCTGACGATGGCTTCGTTATCTCTCGTTTCAGGTTTCCAATAAGAGGAGGAGGGGACTGCGCATACCTGAACGACGGGAGCGTCAGCGCTTCAAGGTGCATCACCCAGAGAAACTGGGTCTGCAGCAAAGCCGATGCGTATACAGACCAGAAAAGTGCAACGCAGGGGAGTCAGGAGCTGAAAAGCTTTTGACAAAGGCTCACCAGGGGCTACTAGAGAAATTGCCTCTCGCACAACTTGTCTACAGTCAACTTTATGCACCAGGACTGAAGAGTAAAGGAGTCAAATTTCCAATGATTTAGGTTAATCCATCTTCAGCGGGATCTAGCCACCAGAGAGGAACGAGTCACCCAATGGCAAATGCAGTGTGACAAATGCAAACAGGGTCCAGAGGAGGAACATTTGGGGATTACTCATCCATCTTCCTAGGTGCTAATATAACAGCAACCGCTCAGGAGAAGAAGCAGGGGTGAACTGCTGACCCCACTGAAATCTATGCACATTTTCCCATTCAATTCAATGAGGCCAGCATCTCACTCATGAGTGTCATTGTAGATGGCCCAACGCAGACCTCTGCTGAGCATGTAGCACCTGACAACAAAGCAAACAAGATGTTGGCATCCATAAAGAACGGGGTAGATGATAATACAAAAAATTATAAATATAAATCAAAGGGACACCCTGATGTGGAATACCGTATGCAGTACGGGCCACCCATCTCCAAAAGGATGCTGCAGAACTAGAAGTGGTTCAGAGACTGGTGACATGAATGATGAGAGATCAGGAGGGACTTTTGTGTGCTGAGATTGGAGCTGTTCTCATCAGAGAATAAGGGGACATGAACAAGGGGAGAAAAAACAAAGATTGGGACAGGGAAGGTAGATTGGGGTGCTGCTATTCAACCTGTCTCTTGATACAAGAACACCACGGGCACTTGACAAAACTGAAAGTCAGCAAATTTGAAACTGATCAGAGGACCTGTGCTTTCTCACAATGCACAATTAGCTGCGGAACTCACTGCTACAAGATGTCATTGAAGCCAAGAGCTTGGCAGGATTTTTTTAAAAAAGGACTGGGACATTAGATACTGTTGTTCATACAAGAGAGGAAATGGACTGGAGTTTGGGAAGGGATCCAAACCTTCTTACTTCAGGGCATGAACCACCATCTAAGGGTGTGTCTACACTACAAAATTAGGTCGATTTTATAGAAGTCGATTTTTAGAAACCAATTTTATACAGTCGATTGCGTATGTCCACACTAAGCGCATTAAGTCGGCAGAGTGCATCCTCACTACCGTGGCTAGCATTGACTTACAGAGCGGTGCACTGTGGGTAGCTATCCCACAGTTCCCGCAGTCTCCGCTGCCCATTGGAATTCTGGGTTAAGATTCCAATGCCTGATGGGGCAAAAACATTGGGTGGTTTTGGGTACATGTCGTCAGGCCCCCCTCTCCCTCCCTCCGTGAAAGCAATGGCAGACAATCGTTTCGCACCTTTTTTCCTGGGTTACCCGTGCAGACGCCATCCCAAGTGCGGAGTTCGTCCTCAAGTGCAGAATGGTGGTAGAATGTGCCTTTGGACTTTTAAAAGCTCATTGGCACTGTTTGCTGACTAGGTTAGACCTCAGTGAAACCAGCATTCCCTTTGTTATTGCTGCTTGCTGTGTGCTCCACAATATCTGTGAGAGTAAGGGGGAGACATTTATGGCGGGGTGGGAGGTTGAGGTAAATCACCTGGCAGACGATTTTGAGCAGCCAGACACCAGGGATTAGAAGAGCACAGCAAGGCGTACTGCACATCAGAGAGGCTTTGAAAACCATGACAGTTTTGTGTGTTTCTCCTTGATGCAAACCTGCCCCCTTTGTTGATTTTAATTCCCTGTAAGCCAACCACCCTCCCCCCTTCGAAATAAAGTAACTATTGTTTTGAAACCCTGCATTCTTTCTTTATTAATTAAAAAAAAATTAGATAACTGACAAGGTATCCCAGGTGGGGTGGGGTGGTGG